CAGGAAATGTTGATGTGGTTAGGCAATGCACATGTGCACATCAGGCAGGAGTTACGTCACGCGAACCTGACATCAGTGTGTGTTTGTGCGTGCGCGCGCACGCAGATGTGAGGTTTCCACACAAGTTACTACTTGGACAAAGCATATGTAAAAAAGGTGTGGTCCTTTTTGGGCGATTCGCAACGAAATACTGATGAAATACAGATCCACCCCCGCAGGATGTTGCCATTTGGAACCTTCTCACGGCTCTCCCTATCTTCAGGCAGTCTCATTTACTTTTAATTTCAGCGATTGGCTCACTGACTCATGGCTCTCTTGCTTTCTTTTCCTCCCACCGTCTTTCTCTTTCTTTGTCACTACTGTCACGTAGTTCGTCTTATTCTGCTCTCTCTCACTCACTCAGTCGCTCACTGATTCACTAACTCGCACACTCACTCAGAAACTCGCTCACTCCCTTTCACTTTCACTTGCCGTGAAAGTCGATTCACTTGAAAAATGAAGTGGTAAAATAACGATCTGTACATTTTTGAGTATTTTGTACCGAGATGACGGTGTTATTTGTTAATAACGGCCCAGCATTTACTTTCAAATGTGCTGCGAATGAGCCGTTTATGCCGCATGTAGTTTGTGATCGTACGATGAATCGGAACAATCCGGTTGAAAAGGAAATGCGAGAGCCACAGTCTAAGAAAGCCACCTTAACCACTTCCTGTCTGGCCACAGCTGCATCGACGCGTGGGCCAAGGTGAAGCCCTGCTGCCCTGAGCATCCCTCAGACTGACTCCCAGGTCACATGACCTCCCCCCCACCCCCGCAATGACTCAGGTAGGCCCAAGTGTTTTCATTCTTTGACTTTGATGCTTTTTTTTTCGAGGTAGGAGCTGTAGTTTCTCTTTGTGTCGTGAGGCAAAATTTGAGTGAAGAGCAAGTTTCAGTTACACCCCCCGCTCTACCGGGCAAGTGGCGCCATCGTCACCAAATGACTTTCAGACGTTTATTGAATGGAGCAAACGGAACCCACAGTCAAAATGAAAACACTGGCAAGGAGCATGGAGAAAATGCCAGTACTGACATAACTTGTGAGCCCCCTGATGTCACTTACTAAGCCACACCCCTTCGAGACCTGAACGTACCACTGTGTATCTTTGACTTTTGCCTTAATTGCGATTTATAAACCCACGTTATTTCTTTGATTGATTGAATTTATTTGGTGGTGCCACAGAAGACTGCAATAAAACTCCCCGTCAGTCAGGCATCGTAGAGGGGCGGAAAAAAAAAAAACAACAAATTTGAATGCCATGATCTTTTCCAGTGTTATGTCATAATGTGTTTAAAAAAATGTTTCCGTATGATTGTTTGTTTGTTTTATTGATTTGCAAAGAGCTAAAATTGCCCGACTATGCACCATCATCCTTATTTCCGCACTCTCCTTCTTTGGTCCTCACAGGAGACCACACGCCAACACTCTCTCCTTATGAAAAATGAAATATGTCCGCCACCCATAAAGAAGCTCCAGGCGGCGCGGACCTCCTCCTGTAGGTCCAGACCATTTCGCAACAAAATGTAAACTTTAAAATGGAAAAAAAAAAAAAGAGAGAAAAAGACGATGGCTGCTTTTGGATTTGACCCCTCGCTTTGCCGGGTTGGTGTCCGACGATGTATTCTCTCCCCATGATGAGGAGTAAAGGTCGCATCCTGTGTAATTTTTTTTTTTGGAGAAAAAGTGTTACGGCTAGGAGGGCCGGGGACGGGTTTTGTTGCTGCCCAGGGTTTAAGTGTTAACATTTCGGGGGGCGTGGTTGGTTAGTGCTCCCTTTAGCGCTGGTGGTTGCACCCATTTGAGCACTTTTTGTCCTTCGAGGACTTTTTTTTCCCCCTTTCTAGCTTTCTTGATTCAGTTGCTTTTGAGTGCTTCAATGAGGATGGACTGCAAATGAGTGAGTGAGTGTTTAATGTGAATTACCCAGAATTCTGTGTTGGTTTTGTTACGTCCTGTTACACGTGGCAATGGTACTGCTTTTTGAAGCCCAGCAACATTCTCCAGAAGGTTTTTTTTTCCCCCCCACCACATCCACATTTTCTGGAGTCGGCTTTTTATTGCCGTTTTCGACCATGGGACGTATCGGCTTTAAAGAGACGACGCTACCTTTTTATAATGGCAAGTATTTGAAAGTATGATATCATTATAACAACAATGATTATAGCTCAACAGCTCGATGTATGACTTTGTTTTCAAGCCTTTCTATGTGTGTGTGCTCTGCCTTTGCCTGGTTAGGGTTGATTTGGGGGGAAAACGATCCTCCCCTCTGGTGTTCAAAGCCATTTGAGTATTTATTCAAGATCCAACTTAAGGTCCAGGTACTAGTAACCTCCACTACTCGTGCCACATTTGGCCTTAAAGCATTTATTGGATAGCCTAGAGGCCCATGTTCTAGTACGCCCTTTCACCCTCTTGTCCTATGAATGAAAAAAAAAGGCATACCTACTGCTAATAACTCATAAATACCATCATAAAAAAGTATATAGATCAAATATAAATAATACATTTGATTTACATTTATTCATTCTAAATAGATTTCTTTAAATAAATCAAGTTTATAATAGAAAAACTTGGACCTTAAGCTTTCCAGGCGTTTGCTCATTTCTTCGATAACAAGAATATCCGTCTAAAGGTCTTATACCACTAGTGGGGGGGGAAAACATTGCTAGTAAGACACGCTCATCGATCATTCTATTAGTGTGCTGAATTTTCCTGCTCCTGAGGGTGAAGCGCATACCAATAGATCTGCATAGCCGGGTTATGGAATAAATACTCAAAACGGCTTTTCAGAATTGGGCCCCTTGCTGAGGTGCTACAACTCGTCCTGCCACTAGGGGGCAGCCCTGTGCATGTTTAAAACATGTTGAAAACGGTAATACAGTAATGCCAAACTCGTGTGCGTGTGCGCGCGTGCGCCTACACGCGCCTATTTGTAGAGGCTCATTCGATGTTACATTTGATGTGCTGATAATTTATGATGTGTACTCTTGAGGTGTGCGCGTGTATGTTTTCCAAAAGTGGGCGGGCACTCTCCCAAGCCCACTCATTTAATTCCCTCTCAAGCTGTGTGGTGCAATACCTCAAATTTTTACCAATGCTAATTATAAAAGCTCGCTTTGTGTGTGTGTGTGTGTGTGTGTGTGTGTGTGTGTGTGTGTGAGAACACAACTGAGAATGGGATTTTGTATAAATAGACCCCGAGAACTAGTCCCCCACACCTGTTAGATATCAGAGCTTTCATCATAGCATTATAGGGACACTCTTTAAAAAAAAAACAACAACAAACACACACACAGCAGAGGCGTCATTTTATTTATTGAATTGTAAATATGTAATGCATTAAAAAAAAACGGCTGGTCTTTGTCTGTTGGATATACTGTTTCTAAAGCTCCAATCTTTTGTATGTCTCAGAAATTGTTTTTATATGTATTTTTTACAATAAATATATGTGTGAAGAGGACTGCTCGTCTCTTGTGTGTTACTTTTACATTTCATCTCTGTCTTTCTTTTTTTTAGAAATAAAACAAAATTTATTTAGAAGTTATAATTTTCTGCGCAGTAATAGGTTCAGGAATACAGTAGTGATGGAAAGTGTTTGGTTTTGGAAAATTTTAAATCACAAGATTTGCCACACACACACACCTGTTAACTACATGGATTTTTCCTTTAGAGAAAGTGTAAGGCTTTTTAAATGGCTTGTTTTGTTCATTTTCTACTTCCAAGTCAACATGTTTGATGATTTAGCTTTGCTGAGTTCTGTCACAGTCGCCGTTTCGAAGGATGCATCAGTGTGACCTTCACATGGTGAAGGTGGTCCTTTTTATGGCTGCTGTGCCATCATATCGGTGTGCGTGCGGCATATTTCGAGTGCATCAGCGGGGAGCGGGGAGCTCTGGTGAATTATTTAATAGAATCGGTGGGCTCCTCTCAGTGCGGATGCGCTGAAGAGTGGGGCGTCTTCTTCCCCCGCCCTCGGCGCCAGCGGCGGCTCCCAGCATGCAGCCGCGTTCACTGAATTATTCATGTTAGTAACTTAAGAGTGCCAAGAGGGCATGTTTTTTTTTTTTTTTTTACCTACTGCCCGAAAACGGCTGGGATCGGGGTCCAGCTCACCCGCTTGTGAGGATAAGCGAATTAGAAAATGAATGAATGGAAACACATTTGTGTGCGTGCGTACCTAATAAAACATTCTCGATTTCCACGTTTGTGTTATTCTGATTTAAATCCTCTGTTGGGGAGCTAAAGCGCGCACACAGACCCCACCCCCCCAAAAAAAATTATAATTAAGACAATCAGATACAGCGATCTTGTAAATACACATTCATGTTTAATGACATTAATCGACTATTTACATAAGACTATAGATTGTTTTCACATAGATTCTCATCTAAAACATTCTTTTTTCTTTTTATATCCAACACATTCTGTGCAGACTTGCGGGTTTACAAATGCCGACAGGTTCAGTACAGACGCTCCCCAGCTAACGAACGAGATATGTTCCGAAGGATCGTTCGTTGGCTGAATTCGTACGTAAGTTGTTTCAGTGCTATATTTTGTATGGAATACATGTTTAAGGCTTATATAAGTATGTTTAAGGTTTATATAAGTATAATAAAATGAAGTTTAACTTACTTTTGGAAGATGTACTCGAAGGCTTCAGGAGATGATGGAGGGGGAGAGAGTTCCGTCTCGAACTTCTTCATGGGGACAGGCGTTTCCTCCTCCTCCTCCTCCTCTCACAGCGCCTAACGTCGGTATTAGCGGTGGAAAGAAGTACTACAGTACTCGGAAAAAGGCGCGCAATACAAAATCTAACTGACAGCATCTCTGTCCGAGAACACTTTTCGACATACCTGTACCCGCAAAAATGTTCGTATGTACCGTTGTTCGCAACACGAAAGTTCGTAAAGCGGGGAGCGCCTGTATTCCACTATAGAAAACACCCCCCCCTCGACCCCAAAAATATAAAACCACACAAACTTTTCAATATAACGCGACTAGTGCTCATCTTGTACGTGCACTAAAGTGCTAGTGTCATGCAAATATTGGACGGATAACTGCCTTTCGCAGATGCATAATTCGTCATTCTCTTCACCCGTGTTTTTGAAAAGGGAAATACAGAAGACGGACAACCTTTACGGGCGGCGGTTAAATGACATCATATGCAGCGTCGCACCACAGAAATGGAAATTTTGATATAACGCAGTCTGACATTCGAGTGAGAAATAGGAACTATGCACGCCAACACATTGACCAATGAGGAACTGAAAAGTGGGAACAGGCACCTCGGATGGACATTTAGTATGGACGAAAGATGAACTCTAGTCTGAAGAGGCACCTTACATGAAAATGCAGTTGTGATGATTTGTACTACTTTGTTGGAGATGATTACAGTACATTTCAACAAATTGTCTTATTTTTTTTCTCCCCCCTGAGGGGTCAGCTGGTGTTTCTCAGGTGACCAATGAGCTTCTCAGTCTTACTTTGGAGAGTGAATGAATGAGGAGGGGGGGGGGGGTGGATGTCAGAGGTAGAAGACGTGCGTCACGTTGACGCGTCGCCTTCCGGGTCGCTCACGCGCCGTCCCGGTGGCGGGAAGGTGAACCTCCTCCCGGATGCCGAAGATGGGGGCGGCGAGAGGTTGGCCCAGCGCGAGGGGGGGCGGCGGTTGGCCGGGCGAGCTGGGCGCAGGAATTGGGACTCCAAGGGCGGAGCCACAGGAGAGCGAGGGAGGTCCTGTGGATGGCAAAGATGGTCCAGAACCCATGAAAGGATGACAAAGGAGGCAAATGTGCTAAAAACATGACTTGGCCACAACTAAAATGGGCTAACTCCTTTTTTTTTTTTTTTGTCTTTTTGCAGGAAACTGATGTCAAGTTTTATGACTGCAATACAAATCTGGGAACAATGATCACTTATTTTTTTAGCCATGTGTGTATCCCCCGCTGATAGGCTTAAAAAAAGTCCCTCAAACACACGGGAGTCAATCTAGGAGGGGAAAATGGGCTCCATGTGAAGAACTCCCCTGACAACTCCCCGGTCGACTCATTCCCATTCATGAAAAATTTACATTTTTGTGAACAATGTTGTTGTTTAAAGTATTTTTTGACTTTTTTTTTTTGAAGAAAAAACGTTTTTTTTTAAAAAAGAATATTTTCCCAAATAAGATTTTTTTTTCGGAATATCATATAGACAGACAGATTTTTTTGTTTGTTTTGTCCATTTAAAAATGGGTGTGAAAAAGCAAAACACGAGTTAATGGTTGAAGCGTGCTGAGCTGAAGTGTTGAACTCTGGATTCCTTTTTAAGACTCGAAAAGCGTATTTTCCCGGACACCGATTTGACTCAATCGGTTACCGTGTTGATTTCAGAAGACAGTTTCATCAGTACAATATGGTGGTGGGAGTGGGCTTCACATTGCCCGCACAACAACACAGACCATGCAACTGAATACTGAAAACTACAAAACGTGACCCACAAAGGTGAAAAAAAATCCACCTTAAAACACCTTTACGACCTTTGACTAAAATTACGTTTGAAGCACATTTTTGTCAATAAATAAAAATCTTTCTTCGAAGCAAAGGCCAGCGATGTGTCTTAACATGGACTTTTCCACTCACAGTGTTGAGTTAAATGATAACAAATAACAAGATGTTGAATACTTCCCATTGTCTGGAACGAGAAGATGAGGGTAAATATGGGAATAAAATAAAGTTAATTAAAAAAAAGGCTTCAAGTGGAGCACGTCACAACCTGTCATGAAACGTGTGATAAACACCCCAAAGTAAATTTGGAATATTTTTTGAAGCTTTAAAGGACCATACTGCAGTGGCTGTGTTGAACTCCAGAGGGCGCTAAGAGTCCCGCGGGCAAAATTGCAGCCACAATTTATTGACATGATATGGAAAATAACACTGCAGTCCGATTTTTGGGGAGGATTTTTATTATTTTCGAACAAATTATTTTGGTGAAGAAAAAAAGATTTTTCTCTGACCAATAAAATTAACATTTTGGTCATCATATGGGAATAAAACCATATTTCCTCCAAAATAAAGCCATATTTTTCAAGGGGGGGGGGATTTTTTTCCGGGGGTAATATTTCTCAAGAAACTAAAATATTTTTCCAGAGAAAAGGAGGAACATAATGAAATGGGGATATTTTTCAAGAGGAAAAAAAAAAGTTATATTTTGCGAAGAATCATTTTTCTTTTTTCATTGGAGAAAGAAGAAATAGCCTTTTCACAAAAAAGTAGAATACTGTGAAAATATATTTTTTTTCTAGAATCTCAAGGTTCTTTAGAACTCAGCAAAATGTTGCTTTTTCCCCCGTTTGTATTATAAGTGTGTTGGGCAAGGTTGGTTTATATGTGGGTGTTATTTAGTGAATCCCTGACTGTGGATGTACGATAAGTAATGACTTCATAGCCAAAGCGGATCTCGTAATCTCCGAGTTGCTAAATCGCAGTTGTGCGTGTATGTGCGCGCGCCTCCATTCTACAGCCACCCTTTAGTGAGTCGTCGAAACACCCTTTGCCGCCCGACTGAAAAAAAAATTCTGGCTGTGCCCCTGTCGGTGGAGAAAGATCATTTGAAATAAAAAATGCGTTTTACAAGCGTGGTAACAGAATGAATTCTTGAATGAAGGCACAACTGTAGTACATGTTGCAGTTCGCCCCCCAAACATGAAATCATATGCAGTTTAATAATAATAGTACAAATTTGGACATATTAAGACCCATGTTGTATGGTAGCAAAACACCAGCACGGACGGTCCTTTAAAGGGGGACTGATGTCACATGTGAACCTTTGCCCTCTTTCTGCCCGTGGCCCTGTGAAGCATGCATTCAAATGATTGACAAGGTGACTGATCCATAATGGGGATGGTGTTCCATGTGGCTCGGAGGAGGAGGGAACTTACATCGTGGAGACTTACAGTCCCCATGGAGTTGTTAGTATGACAGTGTGCTTCTGGAGCAAAGAGGGAGGGGGCGGGGGAGGGGAGGGGGGTGAGGGAGGGATAGACAAACCAGGAAGGGGTTAAACTGAGGAGGAAGACGAGAGGGTGACCTGGGATTATAACAACAGAAGCGCTGGCGCAGGTACGGCCAATCATGATGCTGTAAAAGAGTCGCGTTAGAAATCTTCAAACCGCACAATAATAAACATACTGTTCAATGCGGAACTGACACCATCTTGAGTTTCCCGTCCTCTGTCTGAGGAGGATAAATCCAGTGGATTTTCGCCCCAAAGCTTGTCTCACTGATGCATCATAAAATTTAATGGCAACGTCGATTATGAGTAGATCTACACAAAAGTCATGCCCGAAATCTGCCATTTGGATTTTAAAGTGGCAACTTTGGGGTCAGTATACCCTTTTCCTCAGCTTAAGAACAAACGCCGAGCGATTTGGTTCGATTGCTATCAAATGTGAAGCTTGTATGTTAGATGGACGATGCTGACATGACATATTGTAGTTTTTGTCATTGCGTGTGAACGGCAGTCTGATTGCCTGCTTTAAAACAAATGTTTAAAACAACTCCACAAGGTCAGAAATTCATGATGCATCCGTGATGATTGATTCTTCTTAAAGGGATTATCCGCAATTTGATCAAAATCATTTTGGGCTAATCCCTAATTATGACGAATCGTGATACTCATTTGTAAGCATGATCCCTTTCATATCTCGGCTGAGCCGACACATTCATTTGGTCGGGAGAAGTTTCAGCATTCCATTCAAGTGAGACTTAAGTCCCAGCAAAGATCATAGAAATGTTGGGCCTAAAACTAAAATAAGAACCCCAGAAGAATCTCCATCTACTCAAACACAGATACCAGATACGAGAATATCACTTCAACATATTTCCTTGACATCTATTCCGAAATAAAAAGGGCTCTGGCCTCTATTTACCTCCATGCATCCAGGCTGTGCTCTCTCTGGGTCGGCCATCTTGCTTCCTATTCCTCCTGCCTGCATCCTTCTCTCGTCCTGCAGCTTTTTATTGAGGAGGCGGGCGGCGTTTTCGGCCAGCGTGTAACCCGGGGGCGCCGACAGGTCCTGCCGAATGCTCACTACTTCGGCGTTGCGGTCCCCCTGTGTCTCCACTATCAGCTGCACGGGGCTGGGGGAGCGGCCCCTGGCGCTCCTGGGATCGGCGCTGGGCTCGGCGGCAGTTGTAGGGCGGGAGCGGCTGGGGGACTTGTTGAACTTCTGCATGGCGTCGTAGACGACCGGCGTGTGGTCGATGATGTTGAAGAGGCTGGAGAGACCGTCGTTGATGGTGGTG